GGAAAGAGCTGTAAAAGAATGCCTTACGCATGTTCAACTTGCATTTACTACTTTACTATAAAATTGAATGGATATTGGAATTAGTAATTGTTGTGATCTTCAGGACCAGAATCACGAGTTTATTAGTAAAGTTTTGTTATGAAAGTATGACAAATGATTCTTGTACTGAAAATAAGTCTGATTACTTGTTTATCAACTGTTGTTGGGAAAAGATTGAATGAATGACTTTTTATTTCAACTCTGTTGAGACAGTTGGCACTGGTCCAAGATCCAACGTGTTTTTAGTTATAGAGTCAAGAAACTTCTTAAGTTCTACTATAAAGAATTTCGTTGAACCTTCGATTAAACAAAGCATTACTTTGCAGATATAGAAAATTGGCACTGAAATGGCACCCGGACAAGAATCCTGAAAACCTGGAAGAAGCAAACAAGAAATTCAAAGAAATATCCGAGGCATACGAAGTGTTAATCGATGGTAAGTTTCAGCTTCATCCTACTGTTCCACTATGAAGCAGAATTTTTCACAAAATTACCAATTACATTGTCGTCCTTTTATGAAAATTCCAACCTGATGTATTTTCTAAGTCTTGTTCTAAATGATAATAGTTCCAATTACAACTGTCTCTCTGTGGCTTCGATTAATCGACGCTAGCTAGCTTCAGTAACGAAAACAGGGCGTTGCGATGCCAATGGGAGATGAACGACGGGGCAGCTCCTGCTTGTCAGCAAAGCCGAATTTCGCATGAGCCTTCTGTTTCGAGCGGTCTCCAAGTAGTACAACTTATTCTGAGAGCCAGTAGTTCAATCTAGAACAAATCGATTCTCTCTTATGAATGGCTATTTCGCAATCAGTATTTGATACTAACAAATGAGAGGAGTTACGAGAATTAATCATTGCCTAACAGTAATTGAAGCCTGTTAAGAAATGAAATTCTGCTAGTACTGCAATTTAGAATATCATTCTGCAGAAGAAATAGGGTTCAAACGAGTGCTCGCTACTCCAAAAGATTCTCGAGTTTCTACAGCAGTTCCCATCACGTTTCCATCTTTTTATATCAGTGTAAAAGTTTTCTGCTACGTTTAAGAAAAAGGAACCGTCAAAAGCATTCAAAACTTGAGAATTGAATTAAACTTGAATAGAAAGCAACTCATTAACCGAAGCATCGCTGCGATAATTGACGAATCGTGTCATGTCGATAAATGTGGGAGGAAGTAAAAGAAAATTTCAATCAGAAATGTTTGTTTCCGGACGATCTGTCGTGACCGTGCTCGATGTCCAGATGCGAAGAGACGAACCTACGACCAACGATTGTATCAGAAGGCATCCTCAAGGCCCGGCCGTGGATTCACCTACCGGAGTTACTTTGACTCTCCTTTCCAGCGATATTTCGGTACCACTTAAGAGAAAAAAGACTTTGAGAGTGGCCAAACATTTTCCTTCTTGTTTTTTATTTATTTGTTTATTTATTTGTTTTCATTATTTACTTTCAATTTGGTTTTGTTTTCTCTTCTCTCTCTTTCTCTCTCTCTCTCTCTCTCTCTGTCTCTTTTTCTTTCTGTTTTAAAGAGAAATACATGAATAGAAGTATTCTTGTGTTGAGTCGTAGCAAACATTTTACTGATCAAATGAGTCATCAAATATCAAATACCTCTAATCCCTCATTTGCCTTGAAAGTTGCCGTGCTCGAACTCGTAAAACTCAGAAGCCTCTGATGGAGTCCTCTGATCATTTTCTCTGCAAATCCTTGTGGAAAGCTCAAAAGATACTTTTTTCTCTTTATATGAGTCGCCGTAAATACAGATAATATTGCCTGTAATCTTACCGCATCTCTAACCATTTTGCCATTGCTCGACTGACTGAAAACATGAAAACGACCAACTTACTACCAATAATTCTCCTTTAAGAAGGCAGATCTTCGAAGGACTACGTCACTTCAATTTGCATTGAGACTACTTAAGAAACAGTTTTTAATATTAGAATTAATTATTTGAAATTATATTAAATTCTTCGAAGGTTATCCATGTTTTGTTCTCTTATCCACGATTCCCGAGATCGTTCTCTCTCCATTGATTTTGCTCTTGCAGTGGACGACCTCAGATATTAGAAATCACTCAGCATATTCTACTAACCTAGCAAGCCTTGCAGCACTTGCTTCTTGGAATTTGAAGCAAATAAAACCAAGCAATCTGTATTCATGTTCTGCCTTATGATTATTAATAACCATCTTCTGTTTTATCTACATTTCAGAAAAGAAAAGAAGAGTTTACGACCAATATGGAAAGGAAGGATTACAAATGCCTGGTGGTAAGAGGCGATACAAGGATGACTTTGACGCACACTTTTCAACTACCTTCCTATTCAGAGATCCTGCGGAAGTATTTAGAGAATTCTTTGCTAGTACTGTTGAGGACATACTCGGTGGTAAGTAAATCCATTCTATTCAAAGATCAAAGAATCTGTTTAATACCAATTGATGTACACCCTAAGACACATGGAATGTAATATTTGAGCACACAAATAAGTGCATCTACCTTGTCCACTGAATGGTAAACATGCATTCAAGAAATTAACCAAATAATACATGTTCAAGGATGTTCCTATAATGAAAGTCATGTGATTAACGATGTTCTAATTATCCCAAAAACTTTGCTGGCGTTGATGCACACGTAGGATCCACCAGGCATAGTCATCCAAGCAGTAACAGCATAAGCACGTCCTTCTTTGGCCCATTAGGAGTTACTCATTTTGGTTTCTCACCACTGAACAATTTCTATGAAGGTACATCAGGAAACTTCACTTCGATCAATGCGTTCGCGAGTTTCGGTGGAAGCAGCGGTGGTGGTGCTGTAAAACGGACAAGTACTTCAACCCGATTCATCAACGGAAAAAAGATTACTACTCAAAAGTAAGATTAAACATTGTACAAAAGAATAATAATTCATTATAGAAATTAAATTCTATATATTAAGTGATTTTGTTATACATCATTTGTGTAACAATATGACAAAAATTATTTCACTTGAAATAAATTTGTATGATTTGAAAGATACGCAGAGATGATAATATTTTGTTTATGGTTGTTTCAGGATTTACGAGAATGGAAAGGAAATAATAATGTCGTACGAGAACGATGAGCTGAAGTCAAAGACGGTGAACGGCGTGCCACAATCAATAACGTACAGTTAAATCAGTTCTTTATCAAGAACGCTTGCTCGATCTCAGCTCGGCAATTGAGAAATTCCTGTCGTCGTGTCACGTTTGCGAGTAATATTTCTGCGTTCTACGAGATGTTGTGTTCCTGCTACCTATCTACCTGAATGAAATGAACATAAAAAACAAAGAGAAAAAAATCATAATCAATTTTTTCAATGAATCATCACTGCGGTTATATAACAATATAAAATATTCTTGTATTTTATTTAGATCGTTTTTCCATCTGCTAACTAATTTCTTCGTTTTTCATTGAAATATTTTATCAAAATGCTGCTTAAATGATGTAGTAGTGCCGCTGGTCAACGCACTTCTCCACATATTGTACTACGAGAACCGCAAAATATATTTATCATTTCAAAAAGGAAACAGTAACGACATTTTAAGAAATAGCGATTACTCGACAAAATTCGATGACAGTGATTGCTCGAGCGATCGAGCCCGTTTAAAATAGATAGAAACAAAAAAAAAAAAAAAGAAGAAAAAAAGAGAAAAACTTGCTTAATTCAAAAAAACTAACATTTTAAGCAAAACACATCACGACAAAATGCTATTTGAGCTTTTGTTCCCGTCACCTTCTCTGTTTTACCAGGTTTGACGAGTCATCGACGAGTCGCCAGCTGTCCGACAATGCCAGCGATATCTCGATGACTAGCCAGAACTCGAGAACAGTCCATGGTGACCATCAGAAGGCTAGCAGAATAAAGACGCACCATCATCCACTTCTCACTAAGAAGCACGATAAGAGTAAGAGAAAATAGAGGCAACACTCTTGCAGCCTTCTCTCATTCGTTTCTTTTTTTTGTCCGTATTTTTTTCATTTTGGTCTCCTCGTTTTTTTTATTTTTTTTTTTTTTTTTTTTTTTTTCCGAATCAAACGCATACATACATATACATACATTACATACGTACGTACGTGTATAATTTACGGTACTAATGTAAATTGTCTTTTTTCGCAACGTCGCTTTTGCTATTGTTTAAATAATCGGGACTTTAAAAAAGAAAAACTTCTTCGTCGAAGTCGAAGCTTAGCTTCGACTGACCACATATGTTTGGTTTACTCAATAAATGATTCGCTACAAAATTCATTGTAAGATTTTGCATCGAAAGTGGCGTGTTTAATTGATTCTTATTCGCGGTTGGAAGAGTGAGAGAGTGAGAGAGAGAAAGAGAGAGAAAGAGAGTGAGAAAGAGTGGCGGAGTGGAGGAGGAAAAAGGCCCTACTATCTGCGAAGAATAGAGAAAGATTGTTATTACAGAACATTCTGTTGCGTTTTATAGATATCGCGTCATTTCCGTTCAAAATCTGGCGTGTTACGTTTAATACGGTAAGTTTTGCTTATGCTAGATTCCTTAGAGGATTAATTCATTATGTCGTAAGTTATAATTGCTAGATTTTTATTTGTAAGTAAGCCTCCGAAAACTTCTCAACATATACACTCACACTTTGACTGAGTTTTAACGAATTTAAAACGTTAAGCATACACGTACACATTTTATTTTTGTGCGTATAAACATATGTACACACATATACGTGCATGAGTTTCATCAGGCGTACGTTCATTTAGGACATAATGATCAACTTACAACTATAACAAGTTCTCATAAAGGATAAAATTGTATTACGACAAGTTTGAATATCATAGACTTTTCCATTTCTTAATTTTGTTCTGCGATGAAGCATTCACGATGGAAGAAATGTGTTCCTTTCTTCTTTTCTTTTTTAATTTTTTTTTTCTTTTATTTATATAATAAATTCGAGGGAAAAAGATTAAATCAAATACAGGGCTAAGTTTTTCTGTTGCGTAAATGTTTCCCTTATAAGCAACTTAAATGTCGTAATCCTATTTGTTTCTCTTAGTTTCTTGCGTATGCGTATATAATGATAAGAAAAAAATGTTAAAACATAACGTGGAGAAGAAAAAAATACATCATTAATGTACGCTGGTGTATATTTCATTACTCTCTATCAATATCCAACGCTATATCTCGTCTCTGACGATTTTCTCTTTATATTTGTAACAATTATCTCGAGGTGGGATATTACTTTAAAACGTCATATTGTAACAAAGTAACTATCACTTTATTTCTTCTTCTTTTCTCAGCTTTACTGGATTTATAATATTCGTACAATGAAGTTCACGTATACATTGTGATTTATATAAAGAAGCTAAGCGAACAATGTAAAAGTTCTCTCAAATGAAAAAATGTCTTTTTTAATATTTTCACCAGTATACGCTTCGATGTGGTATTAAAAACCGTGTATATGTATCCGAAAGTACGTTAACAGTTGCGTGTTGCTAAGTGAATATAGTGCATGTGTTGACTTCTCACAAGTCAACGGCATCGACGTTGTAAATAGCTAATCAGTGATAGCAAAATAAATGCAGGTACCACTAGAAGATTGATTCATCAATTTGATATATCAATACCTTTTTAACAATATTATTTCCCACAACAAAGGCTTCTCTATACCTAATACAAACATTTTAATTATTTTGAATATCAAAAAAGTTATTTAGAAATACTCAAACATTTTTGCAACCACTGCACCCTGATACCAAAGATGAAAAATACATTGCACATTTATAAGAGTAGAAAAGATAAAACTGGACAAAAGGTGTATACAAATTTTCAGCAACGTGAATTACTTCTTCCCTATGATGGATATCAGTTCTTCCACCTTCTGAATGTATTGCTCTTTCGCAGTATCTTGACTCATGCCCTTTATGTGATCCCAAGCATCCCATTTGGCTTTGCCTTTAAAATCCATCATGCCTGGTCTGGCTATAAAAATTACAATGTTCTTTAGGAGATATAGTAATGTCAATGTTACAGAGTTATTAAAAGTCAATAATTTTTTAATTATGTTTAGCATGTTTATTATCCTATGTTATTATTAGTCATGCTGTATTAGCATTGCAAAAAAAAGGTCATAAAACAAAAGTCAAGTTGAGGAGTAAACTTCAATATTATAATGAATGTCATCAGACTTATTTTACCAAATAATTTATTTGCATTACAAGTTCAAAGGTCTAGCTTTCTGCAAGATTCTTTTTAATGTATTTATATGAACGGATTCAATAATTTTTTTACTTTAATAAGTCAAGGTAGATGAAATACTTTTAAAGAATTATTATGTTTTACATACGTGTGTTGCAATCTCCAACAATTGCTTGTTTGTATAGTGAGTATAATTCAAGTAAGTCAGCATCTGAAGCTGGAGCACTCAATTCCTTTACCTCCTCTGCAGCCTTGTTAAATCTCTGAGAAAAATATATAATGATAGAAGGATCATTCTCTTTTTTTTTTTTTTTAAATACAACAGAGCAAAGATTCAAGAGTTGAAGAAATCATTCAAGAATTATCATAAAGAATAGCATGAATTAAGTAACTTTAAATATGAAAAATATAAATGTAATTACTTCATCCAGAGACATTGTGCTTTGATGATGAAAATGGGTGTAAACGGCCTTGAAACTTTAAGAGCACAAATTCCACGTCCGTACTGTGACACTGATTCGATCTATACACAGAACGTCGACTGGGATACAAGTGATTAAATTTTTCCCCCTCCTGTACTTCACATGGTACGATCACTGATATACTATCTACTATCAGTAACTTCCAAGTTACGAAGACCTTGATTATTAAAGAATTATATCAACACTATTGCAGTACACATTAATAACATTAGTAGAAGAGTGAGAAACGTCTAATCAACAAATTATTACATTAACAAATCATATTCATAGAAGAAAACATAAATAATTCATATTTTATTTCATAATATAAATTATAATTCGAATGTACATGAAATGTATTTTGATTTATTTTGGCATTAAAATTTGATGTGTGATATATTTTTTATTTTGTGCCTATGATAATAAACCCTAGATTGATTACGGTTAATGATATATAGCGGGATAATAGCGAGGTTAATAACTAAAACTAAAAATTAGATTAACAATATTACTAAAAAAGGTTAATTTAAAACATAATTGAATGTTTTGTAAAGTAAAGCTGCCTTTATATAAAATTAAAAGATTAATGAGGTCCATATTTTCGATAATTTATAAGAATACTTTACAAAGGATAAAGGAATAATATAAATATTAAATGAACATGCAACAAAGTAGGATAAAACAACTTATTAAAATAATGCAACTTATATGTAAGCCTTTATGACATTTTAGGCAGTATATATACATATAAATGCGCGTGATGTATGTGTGTGCGTGTGCACGCTGCACGTGTGTGTTACGCTGTGTCATATATATATCTGTATGTATATATATGCACATGTAAATAGTCGTCTATTAATTTTTAACAATTTTATCTTTTTAGGTAGTATTAAAGCAAATAGAATACAAATTTATATTAATTAAATATCGCAGAATTTTCACATTGAAAAAATCTAAAAAATAATTACATTAAATATTATATGAATTGCATGTAGTTGAGAATATTTTTTATTTCCTATTGATATGGCTAGATGGCGACACTTGATCACTTCCACGTAAAAAATGGCGGACTGCAAGGGTGCGTTTTGTGATTCTTTTCTTATACAATAAATTATTAATCAATTTTGCACGATTATATAAATTATAATAACTGAAATTTATGGAAAATTATCATTTTTCTATTACCACATTTTCTTTTAAATTTTATATGTTCTGATTTCCGGCAATATTTACTCTTGCAAAGCTTTCAACAGATTGACGAAATAATTTTGTTTGACAATCATTTAAACTGTTTGTTTCTTATTTTATGCAGAGAACAAAGAAGAGACGAATAGACCATCGTATATTTTGAAGGTAGATCCACCGCAAGAGTCACCAGGTGAGTCACCTGAAAATTCCACCAGTGGTAAATATACTGTGTTATTTTCTTTTTCAAATGCGCAATTTTTTCATCGATTTTTTTCTGTGACATTTACTACAATCAAAATGTTATAAATTTGTTGCGTGTCTTGCTAAAATGTAATATAAGTTCTGATTAACTTTATTAATTTGTATTGTAGAAAATATAGGTTATGATGTGTAGAAATGAAGCATCATTTGCATATGTTAATTTATGAATGACAGTGAAATTTAATTTCATGAAATTGAAACTGTTTCAGAAGAAATGGAGAGTCCACCAGCAGAAAACAACACCCAGGAATCACCCTCAAGTTCGACCAAACCTGTATTAGCTGCTCCTAAATTTGGAACATCATTTGGAAGTAGTAATACTTCCAAGTCTTTAGTTAAGAACAGATCATCCTTCACATTACGGCATTCTCAATTGAATGCAGTAACAAATAATCCACCTACTACCAAAATGTACCTACAACCAGCTAAATTTCAAAATCCATGTACAAAAGTTACAGATAATTTTTTAGAAGAAAAGAATGAATTAATAAAGGAAAATAATAAAACAGAAACAAAAAAAGACAAGATTGAAGAAAAGGAAGACAAGAGTGAAAAAGAGAATGATAATAGTGAAGTAGAAGAAACTAAGAGTGAAATAAAAGAATCTAAAAGTGAAGAGAAACCAAATGAGGAAGTAAAGCCTACCTTCCTGATGTTAGGCGAGAGTACAAAGGATAATGTAAATATTACAGTAACACCTTGTGCTTCAGAACCAAATTTTGTATTTGGTCAGAACTTGCAGGAACGTGTTATGATTGCGAATGATGCAGAAAGTTCAGAGAAGGCAGAAGGTGAAAAGAAGGAGGAGAAGAAAGAAGAAAGCACAAATGAAAATGGTTCTACGGAGCTTCTCTTTTCCAATGCATCAGCAGCATGTCGTACTACCTCTAAACCAGGACTAACATTGACTGAAGCAGCTCAAGAATTGGAAGAAGCAAATCGTGCTAATAAGAGGAAGTACAGTCAAGTGACACCATTAACTGGTGAAGAAGGAGAAACAAATGTTCTCCAGATTAACTGTAAATTTTTCGCATTTGATAAGGTTTGTACATATAAGCACAAGAACTATTAATTTGAATTTTTAGAATAATTATTTACTTAATGATAAGTGTGTGATTTTATTCAGGCTAGTGGTGGCTGGCAAGAAAGAGGTAGAGGTACATTGAGGCTCAATGATCGTGATGAAGAATCTCGTTTAGTAGGGCGTACTGCAGGAACACAGAGATTAATTATGAATACAAAAATATGGCCAGGAATGACTGCAGAACGTGCAGCACCCAAATCGTTAAGATTAACAGCGATGGAAGTTCAAGGCAGTATTAGAATTTTTATTATTCAAGCTGCGCCCAAGCATGTGGAACAACTTCATAACTTATTGCAACAACGACTAAAACGTGCACAGGAACGTCAACCGAAGAAACTAGCATTTTCTAGGCAATCTGACCACTGACAATCATTCAGTTGTTCTTGCGAGCAGTTCGCTAATTATTATCTAAATTCATGTGACGCTGAAGTTGCTAATACGTGAAAAAATCTGGGAAACTACGTCGAAGTTATCAGGCCCTATTTGTTTCTAGAGTAATTCCTACACAATAGAACTATGGCTATGATTCGCGCTTCTTTCCCTGTGGAAGTTCTTAAGTCTTGATGGTACATCCCGTGGTGCATTAATGTTTGCAGGCAGACAAGACAAAAAAGGCGAAAAAACAAAATCGAATTTTTTCTGGTATATATTTTCTAATCATTCCCAATTGATAATTCTTCTTTTACACGGATTTCAAGCAGCGTTTTTTAAAAGGAACCGAGGAAAGCACTAGTTAGGAATTTTTGATAATAGCATAATACGAAGATGTACACACAGATCAATTGTGAAACTGTTGTAAACTTGAAAGAAGAACGGCGTTTTTAGTTTTTAGTGATCAGTGAAGTATTCTTTGTAAAATTCACTTCAATTTTTATTGTAGCGATATGCGCATCAATTTAGAATTCTCTTATTCTTATTCGCTATATATATAAATAAATAAATAAATATATATATATATAGATTTACATATTATATATATATATAATATATAAATATATATAAGAAATAAGTAAATATATATATGTATATGTATTATTTAACACGTAGTTCTGTCGTGAGCGAAAATAACAGCTTTACACATGTTTACTGACGAGGAAATATTATGAGCCTGTTTGGAACAGCTTACGACTCTATTACGAGCACAAAATATGAACGTTGTTCCACGACCGAATCTGTAACTATTTGTACTTTACTTTAGTTGTACATAGCACCCAGGAGAACTGGTCCGTTTCCTCGTCATATTTTCGTGTGTTTATCACGGTGAAAAGGCTGTGTCTGAGACGGCTTCTTTTTTTTTTTTTATTTTTTGCTTAACGATGTTTATCGGCACGATAAGTCTCCGTTTATTCCACGAGAAGAATAAAGGTCAGTCACAAAATTTTGATGCAACGCGCAATAACGAAAGAAGAATAGATATTATTTGAAAATAAAAATATGCTATCCACGATACAAATCACAAGTAACTGCCGTTTCTCTGTATGCGATATATACAGAAGTGAACTCACTGTACACATCGTTAATTATATGAAAAGAAATACAAACGTTTGCATAAAAATAGTCATTCCTTAGTGTACATTTTATTCTCTTCAAATTTATTAAAGAAACCAGGCACACATTATACTATTGAAGTGAAATTTGTTTGGAATCAGCATTTTTTCTTTCATTTTTAAGTTTACTCCATCTTATTCCACAATCAACATCATAGTCTTCCTCAGTACGTTAGAACTGTTTTTCCAGACTGGAAAATACGCCGGATTACGCGTTCTAATATTTTCCGCACGCGGCGCTACACGATCTGATGGCGGGCGGCATTCAACAGGCTGATATTTATAGATTTGAGAGTTTCGCGCAAAGCTACACAACGTTTTAGGCGTTAAAATCCGGTTTCTGTGTTCGTCAACATCCACGCGATGATCCATGGCTTCCAATCTAATCGTGTGACTGAATCTTCTAACCTCCCAGTGGTCATCGATTGTAGAAATCCGAAGAAATTTATTCAAGTGCAATATCCAAACATCTGTGCAGTCAATCGAACCGCGTAGCTGACGTTTAAATATCGTTAGAACTACTTTTGATCCTGATACGTTCCATTAGCACGATGTATCAGATCTGAATGTTCAGTCAAGATGAATGAAAAGAAAATCATAAAGAAGATATATCCTTTACCTGTGTTGACGATGTAACGTTTTATCAAAAATGTGTGGCCTTCACTAGAATCTTAGCAAAAGATTGAAGAGAATCAGTGGCTCCTATCTTGTTTCTTTCAAGCATTCCCGTGACAATTTTGAAATTATTCGTCCTTGGACGTTATTAGTACTTTTTACATGCTGGCTTCATTCGTCGAGATCACAATTCTTCTGGTGACTAATTTTCCCAGCCGGACTGATCTGTTACTATTAATTTTGAACGATGTGACGCATTCTACTTAATATTTCTTCTTAAAAGTAGAGTCAATAAATTTTGATCGACCGGAAGTGATCAATGCGTCGTTCGCAGCGCACAGAAACGAAGATGCTTCTGGCTGATGGGCAAGAATTCTTCTGGCATTACGCAGCGAAGTACTCCGGAATTCGAGCGTCACGGGGCGGAAAATTAAAAAGATAGCATCGTCGGTTATACGAAGATTCGAATACCGATTAGCGGACCTCCCTCGAAACGATCAACAGTGTTGTCTGCGATCTAGAACAGTTTCAACGAGCTGTCACTAATGACAAGATCAGTGTTGACACGTGAATAGAAAAGGAAAAGAAATTGAATAAGTGGAAAATGATGTTTACCGCTGGTGCCCACGCGAAGAGACGCAATGCCGGTGGTGGTTCCGGTTCCGGTCGGAAGCCTTCTGCCGATCGTCGGAGCCCGCAGATTCGCGTGAGCGCGGAGGGATACACTTACAGGTGAGCCCTTCGGTAGGTAAAGCTTGTTAGATGTTTTATGACTGTTAAAATAAACTTTCCGCGGTTACTCAAATTCTACGAGGAAAGTACGAATAATTATTGCCATTTAGCAAGAAGAATATTAACCTGGAGAGGCGACCTTGAGTTGCTATTTAATCAAATTCTAAAGATCGATGTTAATTAATATACCAAATTTAAAATTACCCAACGATGCGTAGAATGTCGAAGTAAAATAATTTGTGTACGATTCCTTATTTACCGTTTTAAAAATATCATCGACTTGATGGCAGAAAGTCATCGAATTACTATTTTTCTGTAACAAAGAATTCGGCAAGCGCAAAGGGTTAATGTAGAATATCTCTTAGTTTTTTAATTCATGGCTTGTAAAATACCTAGTTTCAATAAATAAGAATTTCAGATGCTTGAATTACTCGCATATTAATGTTTAATTATTTTTAATTATTATTAGTTATCAATTTCAACTACAATTAACATCTATAAAGTACTTTTGAATAATAGAAACATGAAAACTATAATACAAAATACCGAAATTATCATTAACAAGAATTCCAAACTCGTATTAAATTTGGGATAGTACGTAGCATGGAATTCTGTTACCAAGACATACCCTAAGATCGAATCCCCGTGGTCGCAACAAATTTTTTCAGTAATAACTTCGTTCTAATTTGTTGAATTTCTGACTATTGACTTAAAATTCTTCACATTTTATAAAAATGTTTAATATAAAAAACAAAATTTTAATTATAACGATGATTATTACAAAATCATACAGGTGTATTTCAAATGAAAGAAATTAGGTTTTGAAGTCAAATAACAATAGAATAATAATGTATGTGATTCTTCAATACCAAGAATTTTATAAATTCTCGCCTAATTTTCGGAAATGTCGGATAGAAAATACAAAATTCAACGAAATAATATAGAAATTGTAGAGTAAAAAATTTGAAATTAAAAGATTCTACAAAACTCTTGTATAAAAAACTTTTACAATAGAAAAGCGCGAATTTTGTTCATAAAGGAATATAATTACAACCATTGGGGGGAGAAAACTGTGCGATTTACTTTGCGGGAAAAAAGAGATAAATGAATTACTTAAAAGAGATAAAACGTTGGTATGATATAATTTCAGAACCAGAATTCCAATACTAGATCCAACGGACCTCCCACCGACAACATCCACAGAGAAAACATATGTGTACAAAACCAGGGTTCCCCGAAGAAATATTGCAGTTGCATCTACATCGTCTCCACATGAGAAAAACGTCTGTGGTAAAGCAATTACAAGACGAAGAGGTGCAGTAAAACATAACAAGGTGCACGTGATTCGTGGTCATAAATTAGTTGCAAAATTCTTCAGACAACCAACGTTCTGCACCTTGTGCAAGGATTTTCTATGGTAAAGTTCCTAAAAGAAAAATAATTAAAATGGGAGTAAATTGAACTAAAAAATAAAACAAACGTAAATGCATATTTTATCAAGAACGCTTGTACTCTGAAAGCGTAGTAATAATCAAAGTGTCTCGATTTATCATAAAAAATGACCGCTTTGATGATATACGGACGAATACCTAAAAATAGTTTCCGTCGTGCTGTTTGGTACATTACTCAAGTATCGGCGGACGCGACGGTTTCCCCAAGTGCAGCGCGTTTTCCAATTAATCTGAAGTGTGCTTTCTGTCGTAGGGGCTTTGGGAAGCAAGGGTACCAGTGCCAAGGTAAATATTAAATCGCAGATCGCAGTTTTTGTGCCTGTACCGACCACGTTGTACCTCTATTAATATTCCATTCTGCGTTTCAGCCTGCCAAACGGCGGTGCACAAGAAGTGCCATGATAAATTGTTAACCAAGTGCCCAGAGAGTGGCAGAGAATCCGAGAACACAATAGTACGTGCATCTGCTTTATCGATTTTCCAATCTTCGTTTTAAATTTTCAAAGAAAACTTTACCGAACAAATGACTAATTACCCTTAAGATTTATGAAAATGATTGGTATCTATTTCTTTTTCACTTTTGCTTCTTTCTTTTTCTTTTAAAAAAGTTGTTCATGCTTCCTGGTACGAGCTTAAACAGACTTTGAGTAAACTATGTTTGTTTATTTTCCCAACGATGCATAGATTCATCCAGAGATTTTACCACCGAAAACAAGACTGTTTCTAATGCCACCTCATATGTTACAACTATTTGGACATTCCCAGAATTCGATTATAAATATCTGTCCATCTATCTTCTCCAGTGTTTTAGAGCATGAAATTGAAATAATTCATACTGCTACAAACATATCTGTTAATTATTTCTTTTCACTGAAAACCGAAAATTTTTATTTATAATATTTACTATTTATTTTTATAAAGAGTGATCATGCTATTTGTTGAAAGTAATGCAATACCCAGTCCCACGCAAAATTGTTCTAATTTTGTTAATACTTGTTCAATGGCAGTATTTAAGGGAGCGTTTCAAGGTAGATGTGCCTCACAGGTTTCGGCCTCATACATTCATGTCGCCGACTTTCTGCGACCATTGCGGTTCCATGTTGAATTGCTTGTTTCGACAAGATCTCAGGTGTGATGGTAAGTAGACTTCAATTCATAGAATTTTTATAAAGCATTAGATCACTCTATACATTTTACTTTGATGCACCTTGTATTTCAATTTTACTATCATTTTTCACATGCACATTTTCAGATTAAAATTAGTTATTTATGTGATTTGAAATAGATTTCGTTAGCCATTCGTTGGCTATTTCTAAGATTCTCTGAACAAGCAACAATAGGCATTAGCGAAAGAAGCATTTGGCGCGGGACTCAGTTCTCGAACACAAAACTACGCGAAACGGTTGTCCCGTTGACACATGAACGCGCGTTTTACACGGACGCAGAGGCTACGACACGTCGCATGACAATTCGATGTGCATGTGTTGTGAGCTTCACGATGCATGATTACACGTACTCTGGTATTTTTCATAACGTTTCCCCGAAGTTTTTGTGCCTTAAAAAGCGTGTCAGTGATGAGTGGCCATAACCAAGTTATATGTATTGTGGACAAAAAGTTCGTAGCAAAATTTGTAAAACTTATTTCAATTTTTGTTCGTATTATTGTTATAATTTTTTAAATAATCTCCTTTATGCATTTATATGCTTAATCCCGAGTTGTTTCCATTCAGTATACTTCGGTATTTTTCAATATCCTTGTTGTTTCTCGTTTTATTGCTTCTATATATCTTGAATGTTTCTTCTCGCATAACATGTTTCACCTTTGACAATAAAAGAAGTTACACGAAGAAAGATGAAGAACAGTAACTTTGAAAATTTGTGAGATACTTTTGAATGTACTGCAATATTGTTATGATGGAGAATTTTACCAACCTCTTTTCTATAATTGTGACCTCATCCAGGATGCTCAAATAGTCTTGTAAAGTCCTTTTATTCATATTTATCTATTCAGCAATCATTCGACCAGTTTTATTAGACAGTACAGTCTATTAGTGGAACGAGATCACGAATGTCTTGGTCTCTATACGATGCGGAAGGCCAACTTTCTTGAGAATCATCTTCCATATCTTTTCTTTCTTCCTGAAACATTTTTATCAATTTATAGATCATTGCTTGCTTTCACGAGGAAAAGTTAATTCGTTACTTGTCCAGAAGACCACAAGATATTCCGATGTATCTTCAATGACAAATAATCGCAAATGCTTACCAAAAATGTGATTGCATATGAGCTACTCGACATGTAGTCATAAATTTGAACTGAGCCAAAATTGCGAGAGCATTATCAATATTTGAGGAAAAAGATTCAACTTTTTGTCCACACTATATGCTTTGCTGAAAATTCCGTCAACAAACGTTTACACGATAAAACATGACTATAAATTGTAAATAGAAACAATTAACATTTGTATTTGTACTTATATACCTTAGTTTTATGAAATATTTTTACGATGCACCACTGGTAACACATGCAAAAAGAAACTTGTTGAAGTGTTACAACAATATAAGTGGTCACGTCTTTTACAATTGGCAGGTACAAGCCAACCCCAGTTCTGAGTCAGATAAACGCTACAATCCAGCAAATATTTTCAGAAAAGCAATGCCTGAGACGCTACACAGGTTATTAGAGTCCAGCTAATATAGTTAGACGCTAGGAAGACTCATATACTAGACTGCTATTATTATACTGGGTCGCTGGCTTAGAGTCAGTCAGTGTTGGCTCCCTGAACCGTGAGAACGGCTCGTCGAACACCTGAGAACGCGTTCGCCGGCGTTCGCTTAGTCGTCTTCAAGAG